CTATATAAATAGAAAAGTATAGCAACTATATAAATACTATATACTATATATCTTACTATATAAGATTTGGGATTTGGGATTGGGATTTGTCCAGTTTTGACATATGGGATTTTTAGATATGATTGAACAATCCTATTTTTTCAGGTTTGTCCATAGAAAAATCCCAAATCCCAAACGTTTGTCCGGCATGTATACAAACAGTTCAATATAAATTAGTATATAAAAACGGAAGTCCAGAATTTCAAATTCGATTTGGCATCTTTTTTGAATATAAGATCAAATCATGTAAATCAGCTACCACGGCTGCAACAAGTTATGAAAAGGCTATAAATAAAAAAAGTCAATTATCTGGAACATTGTTATTCAGATTATAGCTTCAGACATTTAGAAATATTAGAGAATCTTAAATTAGACAATATTCTTAGTTAGATATACATACCAATATGAAAAGTGTTAGACAAGATCTAATTAAACTTGCAGATCAATATTCCGAATCAGCACTTGATAAGCATGCGAGAGATGTTGTGGCAGTAATTAAACAAAATTTTATTCAACGTTCTATATTTAAATACCATGAATGAGATTCCATTTTATTAAAGTCATTTGAGTATTCTGTTAATAATTAAAATTATTATTTTAGTTTTGAAATAGATAATATACAAAAAGAAAATAAAATCTTAGATATAATCAGAGTAATAGATTTGAACTATATTTCTTGTAATGCTTATTGAAATTTAGCTGCAATAGATTTTCATCTACCATGTAAATATATTATTGTAAATAACCAGAATTATTTAACCCAAAAGATGGCCGAAGATATTCTAATTAAACTTGTTGATATAAAAAAACAATAGATAGCTTGAAAATTGTTAAGGATATCGAAGAAGAAGAAGAAGAAGAACCTAATCTAGATTTTGATAAAGTTCTAAACTCAATAGGTATAGGTAGATAACGTGACTGTAAAAGAATACTTAAATATCTAATTCCTTGTTTAGTACATAAGAATATATTATTAATTCATAATCTGGTAATCCATTTAAGAATTTCTAGTGACAGTCAGAATGTAGGTTAAAAAGTTAAACATGTAATGGTTACCTTTATAATTCTCAACGATTGAGAGCACTATCACATACCCAATTACCATCATACTATCACATTATATCCAAGAACTGAGAAATACGAATCTCTTGAAATTATACTAAATCTGTTTTTTAATGATCTTAGAGATCTTGAAATTAATGGATTAGAGGTTGAAGGTATTCTTTGGCACTTTAAACTTTATTTTAGCAGCAATTGGAAATTTCTTGTGATTTGTCTTGGATTAAATACAGCAAATTTGAATCATTTTTGTACTTAGTATAGCTGTTCTAAACGTAAAATTGGTGATACAACATGGAACTAAAGTCAATGAATGATTTAAAAAATAATTATTATTTTAACATATCTGGTCATATCAAGCCACTATTATTTGACATGATCTCTTTATCCAACTATATATTTGATGAGTTGCATACATTATTACATATCGAAAATTGGCTTTGGAATTTGTTTAATAATATTAGCCACCAAATTATCATGAATGAAATGGATCAGCTCAGTATTAAGTATTAGTTTTGAAAAGAATCCAATACATAGAAACACACATCATTGACTGGTGACAATAAAATTAAAGTATTGCGATACTTTAATTTATCTACTCTCTTTTGCCCCAGCTGAGCTAAACTAATTCGATCTTTATAGAACAAGTTTATTGAACTATACAAGACAATATGTAATCAAAATAGCGATCCTTTATATTTAAAGAATTTAGCACTTGAATGGTTTAAACTTTTTTTAAAACCTGATGAAAAAGATCCAGAAAATCTACAAAATATCATAAAAGGCCTTTATTTACCAACTCATATAACTCTCTATATCCATTTTTTAGTATTTCATGGATAGGAGTTATATCAAAATCATAGACAATGGGGTTAAAAGCATTTTCTTATATGTATGTATCTTTTTTTTTTAAAAAAACTACTATGAATAGTGGAAATCCTCTCAAAAGAAGTGCAGCTACAATTGAAATTTTAGAATACAAATCACAAAATCTTTTTTTTGCCTATCATAACTTTCCTAGACAAAATGTTAAAAAACTTCGTATTAAATAATAATATATAGCTATATTAACATTAACAGTTGTATCGATAGTTTTTAACTCTGTAAGGAAAATAAATTTAGCCATGTAATATAATTGCATTATATCACATATGTAACTTATCATTATAAAATTTTTTTTGCTTAAACCGTTGAAAAATGATTTATCATAAATTTTAGTAGCAAATATGCAAGAATTATGCTTTTAGCATAGTTCTAACATCTTTAATTAAAAAGTAAAATATTTGGCCTAAATCTTTAATCTCTATTAAATTTAAGTTAGATCTATCTTGATCTTAAATATTATTGTGATTTCAACAGCTAAGTACTACAAGTTTCATTTTAATATCGTTATTATTTGCATTAGTCTATTGATGTTCTCTGTACTTTTCTAGATAGTAATTAAGTTACGTCAATTAGTATTCAAGAATCACATGTATACAGTCAGACTTCTCGCACTTGAAACCACACATTATTAATGTGCATACAGAGAATAATAAAGAAAAGTGCATTTATAGAGGTCAAGTATATATTTGGGCCGGTACTTGAACATATTTAGAGAGGGTGTGCACTTATAGAAAGTGCACTTAGAGAGGTCTGACTGTAATTAATTTTACTGAATTTAATTATTTTTCTCCTACTTCTGATTGGAGCTAGTTGAACTCAGTTTGGAACTTCAATTTGATAGCTCATATCTTATATAATTATAATTCACTTATGAGAACCATAAGTTGGCAATTTTAATTACTAAAACTATGTTTTTCTTCATTTACAATAGGTTAAGTTAAAAATCATAGAATTAGTAATTTTCTAGAATAAGTATTTTGATAAAATACATTTTTTAATAGAGGTGTCTATTTGAATTAGTGAATATTTTTACCATGCTTTATCTCATTAATTTATTCGATTTAATAGTGAAAATGACCTTTATCAAACAAAGTATTTGAAATAATCCTCAAAGTTTCCAGATATTACTATTACTCTCCGAAGTATGATTTATCAGTTTATTTAAATATGCTATAAAGATTACGATTACATTATATCTTATTTCATTCATGTTAAATTAGCATATAAATATTGAAATTGTCAATTAATTGGAATATTTGACATAAACTATCATGTTCATCATACTATCCCTCACCTTTAATTCTAGCATAAAGTAAGTTATTCAAGTTTATATCTTTAGTAAAAATTTTGCTTTCGGTTCATTGAGTGAGGTGCTTGAGAATACTCTTAATGAGAATAAAATTATCGATTAATATATCTAATAATTTTAGCATTACCCATTTATATAATTTTATTGTAAATATAAGATGTGAATTTAAAAATTATTTACAGTATTAATTAATCGATGTATTTGATAATTTAGATGCCTGCGCTAAGTAAACCAGGTCTCGGGTATGGTAAGGTATTGAATGAGATCTACTCTTAGTAATTTATATAATTTTTCAATAATATAGAGCAATTTACATCACTATATTTTTTGGTAATTTTATTTACTAGTTGTTGTTATTTAGTAGATGAATAAAATTTCTAATAATTTGGTTTAGGCTGCAGATAAATTAGTCTGAGTTTCTTTTCTTGCTATCTTAGGATATAAAATTTAAATAGATTCTTTTCTTTGTAAGGATTTTCTTTTCACTGTAAAAGAATTAAATTAAATTTTAATAAAGTCAGAGACATGGTCTTACCATTAATATTTAAAAAAAAAAATTTCTAATAATTAAGGTATTTGAAATAAACTACTCAAGTTCAGGTATCTTATATGAATTAACCATTATTATATATATGCTACAGTCAAGCAGTTTTGTGATTAGGCTGCTTGCAGTTAAAGTTTTGTTTAATGTTATTTTTTTTTTCGTATTCATAAAGAAAAGAGGAAAAATTAAACAAACATAAAAAATAAACATATAGTATACCAAAAAATCCTGAATATAATCAAAAAATTCTGATCGCTGTGCTGACCATTATACTGACTAATTTGTCACCTTTAGTTGTTTAATTTTAGGGTATAACTCAGGAGATAAAGAGGATAACATTAAACGAAAGTTTAACTTCAAGCTGCCTTATTAGAAACAAATTTGTTTTTTTTTTTGTTTCTGAATAAAGGGTTAAAAAATTATTGAATAATCTAAATTTACAAGTGAATAAAATGTTAAATGAAATTTTGTGAATTTGAATTGTAAGAGATATCGAAATTTGATTCTGACCAGCTTATGTGTCAAACTAAAATGAATACACTAATAATCAAAATATTATATTATCAGAACATGTAGTTTAAGAAAGCTAATAATTAATTTAATCAAAGATAAATTATAATTTGTATTTGCTAAATTATGAGCTTTCTTCAAACTATATATCCCGAAATAATGCTCCTATGCATTTTAAAAATCTGGCATACAAAATATGAAAGAAATAACACTAATCAAAATTAAAAAAGCTCATTTTTATTTTATTAATATCACACTATATACTAAATACCCGTAATTAAATCATAATTTAACAGACATATATCTATTAAAATGAACAATAGAGCAGAATTCTAGTATACTAAGTATAATATATGCAAAGAATTTGGCATTAGAGCAAATGAATTATGATCTATTTTAACTTTACACCTATTCTAATTTGACGCACAATATTTATAATTATCTATACGGAAAGAACACGCCTCTGCGATATATAAAAAGATAAGTATGTAAATCTTGCAACACAAGTATGTCTATCTATTTTTTTGCCAATTTTTTTCTATTTTACCAAAAGCTCACTATGAGAAAATTTTGGTTTTTTTTCTTTTTTTTATTATTTAACTGTTCTAAAGAATCAATATTGTTATCTTGATCTTTGTTATTGGTATTTGATAATCGTTCCAAAATGATATAGGTTTGTTGATTTTGATTGTAATATTTTTGACCCTATTTGGAATTTTCCAAAATTTGTATTAAAGTTGAATATACAAACTCACTATGAAATCTACATTTATATACCTATAGATTATTTGAAAAGTGGTGAATATGACCTCTAAAAACAGCAATAAATTAACTTTCAGTACACAGAACTGATAGTCTTTTCTTTCTATTTTAGCAAAACTTAATGATAATTGGCAATGTATTTGCTGAATTAAAATATTTTTAAATTTATGCAATGTTCTGACTGGAATTTTATCCAGATCACTACACAGCATGTTATACTTTTTAATTGTATTACAATATTGTTTATAGCCATTTTCTGATTTAAACTTCCGAAAACAAACCGGGCAAGAAAAGATCAGAAAAATAGGTATTAAATTTTGTAAAGAAGTAGATGATAGTAAACTCATGATTAAAAGACAACTTTCCTTTTATTAATGGATAGCGAAGGTATTTCTTTTATAAAGAGAAAGTTATGCAAATCACTCTTTTAAAGATAACAATATAAGTTATAGTATATACAAAATTGATATCAA